AGCAAATGGCTGCAATATAACAAAGAGTGAAAAATTGAAGGGGGTCTGAATACTTTCCGTACCCACTGTATATATATTAAATCTAATAAATAATATAAAATATAAAATTATATAATATATTATTCTTACATAAGGAATAAAATAATTACTAATAAATTAAAACATTTAAAGTAATAGAATTAATTAAAAGTTACAAAAAAAATGTAACTATTTTCCCCCTAATTCATGCTGCCTATGTAGGCACTAGGCAGGTTTTGGAACTGAGCTTGTAACACTCTGTTAGTGCCTTGCAAGCAGTGATAATTCCTTCAGGAAATTAATACTTAGTTACTTTGTGTTTTTTTGCACTTTTTCACCTGCAGCTTTGTCCATGACGCAGTAATCAGGTGAGTTTTCGAAGTACACCAGGTCATTTTTTGTGGCTTTCCTGAAGTCTTTATTGGCTACTGTGAATCCTGTCCCATCTTGGTTCATGGTGACCTCGATGGCTCCGTTGTATTTCTTGCGAAGGTAGTCTCCCGTTTTACGGAAGTCCGACATTGCCAACCAGCACGTTCTCAGAGTGCACGACCCACTGACTCCATGACATTTACACTCCAGCTTCATAAAGCGCTTTACAGCCTGTAAAACAGAGAAACCAAGAAAACATCCCTATGAACAGATTCCACTTGGCCAAGAATAGCTGCGGAATGTAAACAGAGTTTTACAGGAACGTTATCGTAGAACAAAGTCAATGTTTCAGTATTTACATGCCAAAATGCTGAGCTGTTTAGTTGTAATAGGTGTTTCATTTCGTAAGGTTTCTCCACCACAGAGGTAGAGTTATATTACCTTGAATGTATATAACCTTACCATTCTCCCACAGCGGTTGTTATGAAGGTTCATGAGTGCTCGTGCGTCTTTCACAGTTCGCTCTTTTGCGTCTATGAAAGCTTTGGCGAACTTTATCCCATAGTTGATGTTATCACTGCAGCCACCCCAGTCAAACTCTCCTCGTTCGTCACTTGCCCGGCCACGCTTGTGGGGGTCACAGTTACATATCTTTAGCTCCCCCTGACTGCAGGCGCGGGTAATGGCGAAAACCACTCCTGCTGAGGAGATTGCATATACGAACGCTGCCTCACGACTGCCTGCAAAGACAAGAATCATGAAGCCACAACAAACACATTCAGGTCCTTTATCAGACACTGACAAACACTTCATTACACCCTCCGCTGTCATATAATCCCAAACAGCACTTCTGATTTGTCTGCTAGAGACCTGCCCATAGAAGCATGACTAGCCCCAGTGTGAGTGTTTTGTTTAAATATTAGTACAGGCCTAATCCCTCCAGGGTGGGCCATTCTCGGCTAGGATAAATAGTTTGAAGGCTAGCAGTCTGATAGTGAACTGCCACAGTTATTTTCTAAACTTAACCTGCTTTTTCTAAGCATCCTGCATGTTTGGACTCACATCAGTCACACTGATTCCTTTAGCCTGACTGAATATAAGAAAAAAATCAAAATCATCAATTCCTCTGTAAAATAATAGATAATAGGTACTCCTTGTAATTGTCCAAATTTGTGATTGAACCATATATATATATATATATATATGAGAAATTCATACTTTTATTTAGCAAGGATGCATTAACTTGACAATAAACACATCTAAAATGTTACAAACATTTTCATTTTAAATAAATGCTGTTCTTTTGAACTTTCTATTCAACAAGATGTACTGAAGACTGTAGTAATGACTGCTGAATATGGAGTTTGCATCACAGAAATAAATTATGTTTTAGAATATATTAAAATAGAAAATTATTTCAACATTTAATAATATTTCACAGTGCTGTTTCTGCTTTTGAACTGTAGTGTTACACTTCTTGCATTTTTGTGACAGGTAAGATGTTCCTATACAGTAAAATGTGTTCTTATTATAACATTAAATTAATATTATATGGCATTACTAAAGGACATACCAATAGATTTAGGTTAGATTTTTAAAGCCAATATCTTTTAAATTACTTGAGAGACATTAAGAATGCCATTTTTAAAACTTTAAATATATCTGCTAAATGTGGAGTACACTAGCATTTAAATAACCTTGAAGTTATCTATATTCTAGTGTATATAAATAACTTCCACCGACTTAAAATATTGTTTTAATGGAGTCTTTTATTTTAGGACCCCCTGCCCAGATCTCAGTGTAACGTTATCCTTCTCACGCTGTTCTGAAATCGTTTTCAGTTTCCTGTTGCAGTTAAAATGTGTTTCAATGATAGTAGTACTGTGCTCATGTAGTACAATGACGTCTGGCGGACATCTATGTTTGAATCGGTCCATCATTCATACAGATAAATATTCTCTGAAGAAAAATATATATTTTTTAATAGTACAGGTGCTGTTTATAGGAGAATCCTCTCTTGGCAGCCTCTCCAATTCTAATTCCATTTCATAAACTGAATACGCGCAGTGCTGCGAGAGTCTGTCTGGCTGCCAGAATCATCTCTCCAAACATTTACATCCACTATGCCTGTTTATGTGGTGAAGAGGCATAGAGAATGCTGGAGGGGTGATATTTTCACACAGGGATCTTTGGAACGCTGTATGAAAGCCAAACAGAAAGCACATTTATAGTGCGCATTTCTTGAGTAAACTTCAGGTTCAGACTGAATTAAATGATCCTGTGGGGTTTTGTCTGTTTATCACACCTGGCCAGGGATTTGTGTGAATGTGGCTGAATTTTCCTGTGAGATCCGAGGCGTTTCATTAATATCCCACAGTGATAAACAGCAATGGATGTGTCTAAGAGAGCAACTGTTTAAAATATCATTATTCTATTCTAATCCATATTGATTTACTGTGGTGACATTACAGTATGATGATCTAGGTATTTACCATATGAGAATGAATGTGTATCTGACTGGGTGAAAGCACACACACATACACACAAAAAATGTTATATAAATAATTAAAATTAAATTTGTTATTGTTTTTGAAAAAGTGTCCTATGCGCACCAAGGCTGCATTTATTCTATCAAAAATACAGCAAAAGTAGTAATACTGTGAAATATATTTAAAAATGTAATTTCTTGTCATGATGGCAAAGCTGAACTTTCAGCAGTCATTACTTCAGTCTTCAGAAATATGCTGATTTTTCAGCTCAAAAAACAGTTTCTTATTATTGTCAATATTGAACATTTTTTGCTTAATATTTTTGCAGAAACCATGAAATGTTACTGTTCAAAAGTTTGAGGTATAATATATATTATAATACTTTTATTCAGCAAGGACAAATGTAATTGACCAAAAGTGTAAAATATTAGAATGATTTCTGAAGGATCATGTGACACTGAAGAGTGGAGTTATTTTAAATTGTAATAATATTTCACAATATTACTGTTTTTATTGTATTTTTTTAATCAAATAAATGCTTAAAATACTCAAAAATTATAAAAAAAAAAAATCATAATTATTTCTTTGACTGCTTTTGCTTCCAAAACACACACTGACACATTTCTAGTACTCACTGCGCTGTATGACTCTCCCAAAAACGGTATGGTCTCTGTCCAGTGCACTGCAGTTCCAGCGGTGATGACGGAATTGATGCTGGCACTCTCGAATCCACTCTTTAGCCCCGCCCCCAATCGACTGCATGATGTCGGGATACTTCTGACACAACTGCCTCTGTTTATTCACCAGCCCGGGAATATTGTCACAGATCACACGGGCACCAAGGGCTCCAATATACCTGAAAAGCAGACACAAACCCAGAGGGTTAAAACCTGAATTGCTCCAATCGATCACAGCAGTTTTTGCCAGTTGGTTTTTGTGAGCAAATATCATTCCAAAAGTGCTGAATCAGTAAACATTCAGTGATTACGCATTGTCTAATGCCAAAGAATCTGATGATTGAGTCTGATCATTCCCAGAATCTTACCACTCATTAGTGGAATTTCAGAGGGAAGTTTGGCAAACTGACATTTGTCATAAACATGACATTCACAAACCAACAATTATTTATGATTTATTTAAAGGCAATTGCATAAGTGCAACATCATCAGATTTGGAATACGTTTTTGAACCCTAGATGATAACCTTTAGTTTTTTAGACTATCTGATGTCATATTTGGTTCTACTTATTAATCCAATCAGCCAATCAGAACAGAAGGAGATTTCATGAATTATGATCCATTCTATCTCTCTTTTACTCTCTGTATAGTTTTCACTCACACTCTGATGTTTCAATCCATCACTGTTCAATATTTATTTGTCTAACAGCAACAGAAACTGGCATAAAATCTCTCTCGTTCTCATACACACCCAAAACCGTATCACATCAAGCCTGATCTCAGCCTTCACACAAACACACACTCGCTCATGTCAGACAAAAGCAGGATTTAGTTCCAAATATTTTAGTCTGCTAAAATGAGCATTTCTAATGACAAATTAAGGTTTTGCCTTTTGAAAAAATCTTTGTGAATGCTGATCAACCTTTTTATTATGACTGTGTTCCTCCCACTCCGATGCCTCATTTGACTGTGATTATAGGGCTTTATCGTCCCCTGTGCTTTGTTCGATATAGTTTGGAAACACTCACTCACACACACACACTGACAAACTGTGGTGGTTTGCAGGTTGGCTTTACCAGCAGCAGTAAATCATTATCCACAGGACCACAACCACATGCTGTAAAAACACAGTAAAATCTGCTCTCATTTACACTGCAAGTCTCTGTGTGTGTAGATAGGCTTAACTGGGTAAAGAATGTCCGACTGTAGTAATTTGTTGCTTCTACTACCCAAATAAAGGGTGAAAATTCCTCTCCTCCCTATTTCTCTCCATCTCTCTGTATCTTCCCATCTTTGTCTTTTTCATTATTGGTCTAATCACATTTTCTCCTTGCTATAGATTAGACAGAAAAGCAAGTTAGGGAAAACAATTCTCAGGCCCTTGATGGAAGATCAAAATTTGTATTAACCTATTCTTTTATATCTTTCATACTTTTCATCTGAATCAGAGCCCTAAGGTTTCCAGGCGTCTGCTGTTCTGGATGGATCATTTGGGAACTGTTGGAACTTACATGTGCCATAATGTTGCAATCTTTATGTATGCAGATTGCAATATGGTTGGACCATTACAAAACTAGCTTGTGCATCATTCAGAATTGAACTAAGAAATTAAAGAAATTCATATGACTGTAGTTTTGAACTAGAAATGCAAAGTTTGTCAAGACATGTTGACCTTGTTTAAAAAAGGTTAAAGGTCTTACAGACAGATAAATAGATGCCAATAGGAATTCCAATTCAGCAACCTGTGGGGTGTGTCCAATTTTCAGTTCTGAATTTTGTCCAACCCTGGAACAAAAGGTCAAAGATGAAGTTTACTTCAAAGGACACACACCCACCTTTCTATTTGTGTGGAAGTCCAGGGCAGGCTTACATCTGGCTTCATCTGTGTGTGTGTCTGTGAAATAAGTTCACTAGTATGAGACGCTAACAGGCCGCCCAGTAGCTTAAGAGGATTCCTGCTCTGTCTGCTTAAAGTGATGGATGAGCAGATCAGAGAGAGAGAGAGAGAAAGAGGGAGCAAGAGATCCCTTTCTCTCTGGCTCTGGTGAGTGCCTCACATTGGGAATGTCAGCCTGACTTATTACACCTCAATAGTGACAAAGGACTTGCTTTCCTCTTTCTTAGTTCCATGCACATCAAGCTTAACATTTAACTGATTTCTGAGCTGTTAGTAATAACTGTAACCCCTGATACAGTTGTTGAGGGTCCAGTAATGAACGTATATGATCTTCAACAGAGATCACTGTAGTACATGCATGTTTTATTCTTGGTATAATGAGCAAAAACATGAAATTAACTTTTGTCTTAGTCACACACACAACCATATGCACACATATTCTGTGTATACACAAAGCCCAACCATTCCCCAACTACATTTATATGTGAGAAATGGGCATGTGGCTGGTTTCTTCATGATTGTTCAGGCTCATTGCACTGTAGTCACCAGCTAAGTGTGTGTGCATAGGTATCTAAGCAGGAGGCCTGACACATATTGCAGTTATTTCATTTATTCCTCTGTTATTGGCAGGCACCACACCTCAAGCACACCATGAAAACCAGACCCATAACTATGATATAATGATGTGCAAGGCCTGTTACTACACATAAGCACAAGCTCTGGGGAAAACCCCATCCCTCATGAGACTTTTTTGAGGGGGAGAATCCTGTGATTTGTGTGTTTCTAGAATAACTGTGTTTTAAATGCCAATATCTTGGTGGGGAGAGCGGTGAAGCTGCGTTCCTGCACCACGCGCGAAGTGTGTGTTCATTTTAGTACTTGAGTCGACTGCCATCTCCTGACCTCTGTCTGCCCACCACCAGGGTGCGAATTATGGGGAGTTTGGGGGGTCTGAGACCCATAATTATGGCTCTAACCTCCCCAAAGGAAATAAAAACATAAGGTTGGGGGTCTCAAAACTATGTATTCGTTCACATATAAGTATAGGTCTATACATATTTCAACAGCGCTTTCAAACAAAAAAAAACAACAACAGTGTTTTAGTAACCACAAAAGTTAGATTACAAGTTATTCAGACCGCGCTAAACAGACGCTCGCGAACAGCGCGCGTTCGCCTGAGAAGATAACCATAGCAACAGCTATATCAGTATATGTTTTATCCGTTTATTATATTTACATAGGATGAGTAAATAACATTAATAATGTTTCGTTATTAATTTAAAATAGTCGATGTTTAGCAAACTGTATTATGGGCACCAAGACATATTCGGCTGCGCGAAACGAACATCAACATATTTCACCCTGACAAATTACTGACAGAAATTGCTTTTTAAAAAGTCAAACACCCTGAAACCAGCCCTACACTTTAAATTAAATTTTTATTGAAAACATTACTCCAAGGTTTTTAACCCTCTGTTTTTCATTAACCTCTCCTCCATGTGTTTTAAGAGTAGGCTATAAATACAGTACTGTACACAATAAATGCCTCACTTAAACGCAAACCACTGTTATTATAAAACTGAACTGCCACTTATAAAAACTAGAACAATGTGGGCTACCTAATAATAAACATTTGCAGATGTTCAGTCTCCCAACTGACAGCAGCTCAGTCACCGTGAGCTGAGGGGAAAAAAACCCACCCGGCTTCTGCGCGCGGGGATGCTGGACGCTACTCACCACCAGGACGAGTCCACGCGCGGTGTGAGGATGAGCAGGAGAAACAGGAGAGCGCAACACAACCGCGAGGACGCACGGGGACCGTAGGATGAGCCTGCGCTGTTTCTGATTATATGTCTTAATCCTGAGTCTCCGGGAACAGCAGTAGATCTGTTGAGAATCCGGGGCGACCCAAGAACTTTACCACAGCCAAACATAGTTGAGCGTGTCCTCCAGCGGTGATAAGAAAACAGTTGGGATTGCTGATAGCTGGACGGATGTAGAGCTCTGTGCGGACGATGCACAGACGGATATCATGTATCTGCCCGGATATTAGCGTGTGCCATATAAAAGTATTCCCCGAAATCTGGCAACCGCAGCAGAAATAATCCAAGCCAGACGGCAGGTTCAGAGTGCGCTTTCTTTTCTTTTTCCACCTCCTCTTGAGAACAGATGAAGTCTCGGTGAGGTGCAATTTGATCAGAAAGAGTGCCAACTTTTCCACTTTTCTCTCCACGTTTTGCGTTCAGGCAGGGCTGTGAAACACGCGCCTCTTCGTTTTTCCATTGGAGTCTGCGAGCGCTGATAGCAGACTGCGCGAGATAAACCGGGGCGATGAACTGTGCGAACTGCAGAACGAGGGGGTGGGCGAAGGGGGTGGGGGGGGGGTTAGAGATGGGCGATAGGAATGTTGACAGCCCGCCGTCTCTCCACTCTTATTGGGCAGAGCTCTCAGAGACCCCGGAGAAGCTTGAGCCGTTCCCTGGTCAGTGGAGACACGCGCCACACTCCTTTCACCTGCTGAACGACACGCAGCATCCTCATTTAGGCTACACACCATTCTGGAGTTCACACTCACAATTTCACAAACACAGCAAAATATTCATGATGTGAGGGAAAATGAGACACACAATTTTAACACAATTTTAAAATGTATTTTTTTTAATCGCTGTCATAATAATAATAATAAATAAGCGGTTCAAATAGTTCAGCGTATCACTACAGCCAATAACCGTGGTACTTAAATTAAGGCATAAATTTAAATGTTTAATTTTGGCGAATTAAAACGTTACAGTGTGGATTTTAGGGATGCCGTATAGTGACAAATATTCATTAATTATCAAATATCCAATGATTGAAACAATTATTTATAAAGTAAGATAGCTACGCATATATAAGCTGTTTTCCTTAGTATATTTTTCTCGTATGATACTATGCAATTGCAAAACCCATAAAATGATCGGTGTATCTAAAAATAAAATACTTATTACAATCACATATTTTAATGCACTCGAGCATGCAGCATTCGCACTGATTGTAGCCGCAATTGCTAGGCCTTTATCATTTGGAGAGATGCGCGTGTCTGAATACGCAAGCTCGTGTTTACAGATAAGGCTCTAGAGCTTGCACGAGTGCTGCTGTGTATAAACATCGTGCGGAATCCAGTTTCAAAACATCACATACAGTATATTTGCCTGTTGCATGACTCTCTGGATAAGTTAAACCATTCTCTTCATTAATGCAAAATGCAGGAGATATAATCTGTTATAATTGGCGTCCCATGGCTGCAGCTGCACTGCTCCTGTATAGACAAGATATAAAGCAAATACACCGTTTCAACAGTAGCAACTTCAGCTCCAGATGAGGGATCTGCAACACCCAAGACTGTAACACTTCACTGAGCACTTGAAAGTGAACTGACGCAGAAATAGGCCCAAATCCCTGTTGGAATTGAAACTATTAGAGTAAACTGCACTTTCCACCAAGGATTAAATGAACAACTATAATGTTTAGTTGTAAATTCTAAATTAGGCTAATCTTATAGTCCTGAAATTTTCATTTGTACTTAAACTTTAGCCCCTTAGACACTTTTGTCCACCTAAAGCTGGCATGGCTTATGTGAAACAGAGAGGCCTATCCGTGGAGGAGAACATGTCAGTTCAGATGGTGATTCTATTGTGTAAAAAGAGAGAGAGAGAGAGAGAGAGAGAGAGGAATTTGCCAGCCTGTTCCAGTAATTTTTAGTCCAGAAATATGTAATTTGAAGTTATACACTCTTACTGAAGCAATTTGCTTCATATTATTGGACAGAACAAGGCCTCTTGGGATTTTTCAAAGTGAGAGACTATACTCTAATAAAATAATTCAATATGTTTGATCTACGGATTTCTGGTTGAGTACACCTGATAACACCAAAGGCTTTTCCAGCATCTTCTGCATAGTTGACCTCTTTCCAACAGTGGCTGCATAATTTTGAGAGCCATCTTTTCACACTGAGGACAACTGAGGGACTCATACGCAACTATTACAAAAGATGAAAACATTTACTAATGCTCAAAAGAAGGCAACATTATGCATTAAGTGGGGACGGGGTGTAAAAAAATGTTTAATTATTAACATCTTGCATAATCTGCAAGGGGTATATTAACTCATGAGCATAACTATAAACTGCATTTCACATAACTCTTGTACAAGTATTCATGCGAACATACACTAACATTCACAAGTTTGGGGTTTGTACAATTTTTTAAATGTTTTTGAAAGAAGACCTTTGATTGAGTTAATGCATCTTTGTCAAGTAATAATAATAATAATCAAAAAAATCTTACTGACCCTAAAATTTAAAAAAGGTAGTGTAAGTATATACAAATACATACATACATAAATTAGAGCAATACAAATTAACAAGCACATTACTGTGATACTGAACATTGATGTTTGGCTGCATGCAGAATGTCATAACTCCATGTATGAGATTAGCTCACAAGCACACTGTGTGTGTGTGTGTGTGTGTGTGTGTGTGTGTGTGTGTGTGTGTGTGTGTGTGTGTGTGTGTTTCTGACTGCTCTATAATAGACAGAACGCACACTCAAAGTGACCACAGGGTACAGGAACACCTGAAAGAATGAGCTCACAGTTTATTTCTGTACCTGTGTGAATCTGAACCTGTGTTTGTGTGACAGGTATTAACTCTTCAGTGTCGTCAGGTTTGGCTCTGTTTCAGGAATGAGGGCACTGTGAGTGTCCTCCCGGCTGCCTGCTCAGAAGTCCACCACTGGCTATTTTAGAAAGGGGCTCAGGGAAACACTCACCTGATTATAAAACCTCTTCCAACTGTTTGAGTTCTACTAATTCTGTCCAATAATACATTTAATTTTGTACTGCTCAGTATTTCCTGAAAATTGTTGCAGAGTTTGTAATTTCTGATCTAAGCTTGTGTGAAAGTGCATGTATGTAAAGTGTATGTTATGAACACTTGTTCTACCCTTGTTTAGCTTATTAAATGGCACTTTCCTACAATTTGGTGTCACCTACACTCCCAGAAAATAAGGTACAAAATTGTCACTGGTCTGGTACCCTTTGAAAAGGTAATATGTACTTATAAAGTATAACTTTAAGCTACTAATAAATGTGAATGTGATACAGTAAAAGTAAATGTGATAGCGTTTTTTTTCTGACAATGTACTTATTAGCCTTCCAGACTGAATCCAACCATTCAAATCAAAACAATGTAGCTGTTTTGACAACAATCACTCTGTTTTATTGATATTGACATAACTGTAACAAAAATGAAGGTTATTCAACTACAAACTAAAATTACACCTCTTTCATTTCTATTCATAAAAAAAATCAAACTCAAATAAGGGGTTTAATCTGTATTTAGTCAAGTCTATAATGTTTTAAAACTACAACTCCCATATAAAATATATGAATAATAAAATAGCTCTTATAATATTTAGTTATTTAGATCTGAGGTTGATGACACCGATCATTTGTTAAAAATGAAAAAAAGTATAGATTTTAGTTTTTTGGCCCTGTTTTGTACTCTGTGGAAAATGTCAAATATATTGACTAATTTGGTACTTATACATTTCCAATATTAGTAATCTACTCACATTTAACACATTGTACCATTACCATTTAGCATTTAAATCCATTCTACAGAATTCTACAGATTTTAAAGATTTTTCTTACAAAATCAGCACACAAAATGTTTCAAAAAATAAGCAGATTCCATCTGGGCCTCGTTCTGTTGTATTGTATCACATGAGGTTGCTGATGTTGAAAGTTATAACGCTGAAGTTTTATAGTTCTGTACATTGTTCAAAGAAAAAAAAAGCCTCTGTCACTCTGTGGGAATATGAACCCATCAGCACAGTTTTTAAAACTAATGCTGATAAAGCAAAAGACTCATGAGAACATACGAAAATTCTGCAGTATCAATACTGCATAAATATCCACATAAACATAAAATAACACACCATTTTGATGTATCTGCATACTTTTAATGTTTTTGATAATCATTTAACTAGTTAAAACATCTTGGTCTTCTGACCTAAGTAATCTAAAATCAGACTGGCTGCCATACAAACAGACAGAGACGACCAGTGCAGCAAATGAGCAGAACACAAGTGACAATTAACATTAATCAGCATGTATTCATGAGCATTACTCTAAAATGAAGTAAAGGTCAATAAGAATAAAGCATCTAAATATACCTCCACTGGAAAGAGAGAAAGAAAAAAGAGAGAGACTGCACCATGCTGTCATCTGTCTCAGACTTTACATTAATTTATGGTCTTGTATTTTTGGATGTTCTGACAGCATGAAGGAATCTATTCACATTCAGACACTCTGATGTGACTCTCTGAATCTAAATCTCTTTCCAGCTACTGTGCACACATACATACACTCTCTCACCCAAAGACACTTGTTACGTATCATTCAGTTACATAAGCGATGATATAAACATCCGATATAGAATTTATTGTGGTTTTTTAATAAATATGTTGTAAGTTAGCCTTGTTTACTGGGTTATTTAATTGATTTAATTGATTTAAGGCCATTTACACTGCAAGTTAATAGTACATTAGAGATATCTTACCACAATTTTATATAGGCTATATTTAGACTGTAGATTTCGTATAATTTACTATCAGCTTATAGTGATGTAAAACAAATAAGTAAGTGTTTAACTTTTTCCTAAGTGATTTCAGTTGTTTCAATCATTTTGGAGACTGTGTATCTGTGTCAGACAGGATACAGCTCAGCATTGGGAACCGCAGATGAGGAAATGATGCAGGAGAGACTCTCTGTCTCTTTCTCTTTCCCCGTCTGTCTCTGAGTCATGCAGTGAGGGTCACATGTCATGACGCATCACCATTTGAGCATTATCTGTCCGCTGCTACTTTCTGACCTTAAACTAGCTGCTGCAAAC